GTGATTCTGACACTTACCATTTTACTGGTCTTGGGCAAGTCTCTTCACCTCTCTGAACTTTAGTTTCTTCCTCTGTAAATCGAATTTAACGACATCTGCCTCATAGGGTTGTCCTATGGTTAATTAAGATAACAGGACTTGTGAGTTGCCTGGCACATGATGGGAAACACATAGTGACTGTTATTTTCCTTCCCTACTAGGGAATAGACACACAACCAGAAAACGATGTAAAATCAGGAACTAAAGTGTGTGAAACCAAGGACAATAATACCATAAGCTCTTGCCTTGTGTTTTGTCTTGTAAACTTCCCTGGGAGTTGATATTTAAAGCCACTTTGAAAAGCTGAGTATCCCAAAATGCATTTGAATGGTTCAGTGGGGATACTGACCCTCTGTAACAGGCTCGTTTGAAATGATCCTGCTTTGCTACTTCGTCTTAGAAAGATAAACAAGCAGCCCACAATGGCCGCTGTGATGTTTTCTTTTAAATCTTGCTTTCCAAATGTAGGACTTAGCCATTGGACAGTCACCTGGGGGCTCGCTCCCCGCACATGCTCTCCCTGAATGCAGGGAGTTCCAGCTTGGAATTCCTGGGGCCTCATTAAGCCTGCTGTGACTAAGTGATCTTGCCTGGTGCTAAAACTGTTTAAAATGACTTGGCAGCAACCAGAAGTCAGGTCTTTCCGTTTTTTCTCAGTTCCTCCCTACTTGTAACCCCCGCCTACATGTCATGAAATGAAAACATCTTTCTTGCCAGATCGGGTGCAGGACAAGTCTCCAGTCTCCCTGAAGAAGCCTCATCCTGGTCTTTCTGGAGAGTTAGAGAGGGAGGCAGAAATCTGTCCCACTGGTGTTAATCTCTCCTTTGAATGAGACTTAACTCCTGGGAAAACCTCTTCCCTGTTCCAAGTCATTCTTTCCTCTCTTTCCCTGTCTCCCGCACCCCCACCATTAACTCTTCTCCTCCATGCCGCTGGCAGCCTCTGCCTCTGGCCTGGCCTCGCCACTGCTCTTCTCATGGACTGCCTCTGTGTTCTCAAGATGGGATGGGGGTTGGAAGGGAAGGAGAAAATGCCAGTCCAGCCAAGGCTGTCAGAGGTTGACCACAGCCCCGTTTCAGGGGCAGGAACAGACCCTAGGAGCTGGAGGGGTGAGAGAGAATCCAGTATTAAGAAGCCTACTCTGCCAGATAGTCGAAATAATTTCTCTCATTAGATTAATTACACAATAACATGTAAATATACCTTCCTTTAAAGAAATTAGACCACTATAAGAACGCTAAATTCCCTCGACACCCACTTTCAATCCACTCTTGTCACTCACCGTCTCCCTAGAGGGAATCACTCTCGATTTGCTGTTTTTTCTTCCCAAGTGTTTTTCTAGACCCAGTGCTTAGAGCAGTACCCAGCATAGAGTGGGCATTACATAGTATAGTAATAATTCTTAGGGTGTGTGCTTTACATCAGTGCTATGAATCCACAGATCTTAAACATTCAGCTGCATCTCCCTCCTTTGATACAGTATTTCATTTTATGAAAATGCCAGTGTATTTGATGACCCCTTTACTGCTGATCATCCTGTTGGTTTCAACTTTCACAGTTACAAACAAGGCTGCAATGAAAAGCCTAGTAGAGGTTTTCCTGGGGCTTCAGGCTGAGCGCATGCTGAGAAATGGAATTGCTTGGACCCAGGGTATTAGCATTTTTTTGTTTTAATAAGCACAGCAAATGAACATTAGCTTCCAAAGTGATTGCACCAAAACAGACTCTTCTGGCAAAAGTGTCCATTTGCCCAAATTCTCACCAACACTTGATAATGATGGTTCACACTTACAAAGCACTTAGCAACATGCCAGTTGTGTCCTAAATCATATATGTGTATGTATTCATTTAATCCCCACAAAGATCCAATGAAGCTGTTCTATTAGTCTTTCCATCTGATAGATGAGGAAACTGAGCACGAAGTGTTTGAATAACTTGATACCATCAAACCTTTAATTTGTGCTAAATGACATCTGAAGCGGCCTTTCCCGCACATTTCAGGAGAGTTGTCTCAGGGAGGAAGGGTTACCCCAAGTCACACAGTCCATAGGTAGCCCAGCCAGGTTTGGGGGTAGCCTGGGCAACTCACAGTTGTAGAGTGCAGGTGAGCTGGGAAACTGAAAGCAGAGTGGCCCTGGTAGACACTCCCAAAGTCACCCAAGAGGTGACTACTTAGGGG